CAGAACGAAAATGAATCTTACGGCTAAATGAAGCCTCTGAGCTAAATTCAAATCGTGTGTTTCGTCGCCCGTATGAGTTCTTTCTCCTTTCTCCGCTTTTCGGTGAACGGAGCATAGCGATATTTGCGTGGTCAGACGAGAGCGGGCCTGATGGCCCGAGTCTCGCCACGTAAAATAAGGCATCAATTCAATTCAATATTTTAGTCTTTCATAATGGAAAGTTGTCCTCTCTTGTAATCTTTCTTTAGGTTTTCAAACCATTGGCCGTTTACAATTTTATATTTAATGAGAATTGCAACGTAAGTTTACCCAAACTTCACCAGCCCCCTGCCTCAGCACACAAGAGCAAAATTCTAGTGTCGGTTAGTCAATCTGCCGCAAAGTCTAGGAATCACAAAGGCAAGTGTGTCTCGGACGCGCATAGTCCCCTCGTCTCGCATTATCGAGCGCGAGAGGCAGCTAGAAGCCGCTTCCCGACGCCAGTTGACCCGGAAAGCGGCGCGTGACGTGGACCGGGTCTTTCCACGCGAGAACTTCGCGGGCGACATGACGCTTCGTTTCTTATTCAGCGGTTGCTACTTACGATAGGTCATTGCTGATGGTTGCATGTCTGGTGAGACTCAGCGTTATGCCCGATTTTAAGGACGCCGTGTGTGTGCGTGTGTTTCTAATACTTTAGTTTCACTTCCTTGAAAAGCACTGGAAAGCACTTTATAGGTCACTGCCACCATCATTTTATAGATTTCAACTATCGATAATGTCCTACAATCATTCAAAAGTAATGTCACTAGAGTTTTGGAATTATCTGTAACTGAAATGTATTTATCTGTGGTTTACGAGAGAAAATAATGACTGAATAAATGAACACTTTCTTGAATAATATACGTAAAACACCAATTAATACTTTATTCAGGGTTGATATTATAATACCTGATAATAAAAACGGAAAAAAGAAAATCAGAAAAAAATGAATGCACAACATATGGCACAATTATTAGTTGGTGCTGAAGGTATGCGTGAACCTTACTAGATCTTATTTTATGAGTAAATTAAACACTATATCCTTTATTATCTTTAACTCATTTATACTTTTTTACACCTGTGACTCATGTACATGCGTGAATTGTGTACAAAAAAGTTATCCTTCGTTTTGCGCTGACGTTTTAGTACATCTATGAATTCTACAAAAACTCTAGTGGGTTTCGAAATTTTGGTTGAAAGTTAATAAAGAATTCACTTGGTTTTTCGAGGCTACGCAATGCAATATAAACAAATCATGGGATGTTTCGAAAGTCACTGAAGGCCACAGAAAAATCCTTTGGCCGCCGGGCCTAGGCTGCATAAAAGCAACGAATTCGTGACTTTGACCTAGAAACTTTTCTTTCGTATCTTACCCCTCGTACAGGAGGGGTTGCAAATAAATATTATAACGTCGTTGCAACAATGTGATAATAACGTTTTAACAGACATCTATTGTGAGTGGAAACATTTTCTTTCAAATAGGCTCACAGAAATAGTCTCAGTGGGGAAAGAAAATAAGTCAAAATATGCAATTTTGAATTGTTTCATCGCCACACACTATGTATTCCGCATGTTTTGCTTCAGCAAGAACGTGTTTCAGAGGCTCTTAAAACACGTAGGTTTAACATATTTATATTTTTGAGAAACATTTTGTAGTTTTCATTCAATTCAAGAACATGTATTCGTCACATTATAGTGTTTTGATAATTACGTAACAAAACTTTATTGTGTTAAAAAGTTGTAGTTTTATAAAATTGTATAATGGAAAAAGGGCTCTGCAAAATTGGAGATCTGGGCCAAGGAGCCGTCGTTTCAGCACCTTCTGTAAGGTACGGCGGAAGCGATGGAGAAGAACGAGTACGTGTTCTAGAGCTAGGGACACCTAGCATTATTTGACTAACAGCTGAAGCATTGAATAAGTAAAAATTGTCTGGAAAGCGGTGAATAATGGGACGCAATTGAAAATAATTGTGAAATTTGTTAGGGACACGCTCCGGCCTTCGGCCTCAGCGATTAATATTCAACATTCTTAAGCCTATACAAACCTTAATATTCAAAGCGCTTACATCAAATTAGATATGACTTACTTTAACTGGCAGTCATTGAACAACTTAAACTACAGTGTTTCCACTTGATTAAGTATGGACATTCCCTCATATTCCCCATGCACATTCTTTAGCCGTTTGTCAAAAAATACTTAACCGCGGGAGCGATGCAGGAGGAAAACTCGTTCCACAGAACATTTATGTTATAGTTTATACTTTATGAAAATAAAATACTCCATTCTCTGTTTTCTACTCGCCCTCTAGCGATAACTATCGTCTATGACCTCAAAAACCTTTCCCAAATAGGGAATTCCTTAATGAACTCCAATCAAACAAAATTTATGAATTCGACTGCGTTACATTCAGAAAGAAACAAATACTGTTTAGGACTGATAAGTACGGAAATAAACCAATAATGGCCATATTCATCGACGTGTTGTTAGGAGAGGTTTAGATCGACTCATAGTAAAGAAAGTTTAGGAGCCCTAAAATGAAATTAATATTTTAAATAAATTTGAAGTTCCTTACAAAGAGACCCAACAAAGAGACATTGCGTACCAATGTCTCATTTATTGTGCGATTTGATGTTCAGAAAAATATACAATTGCCTTCAACAATAATAAAGCATTAAGAGACCCGTATCTTCATCGTATTCTACAATACTATGTAGCAATTTGTTAAAACATCACAAGTAATAGTTCAATCCGTAGATTTTCAGTATCAAGTCTTATTCCTATAACCTCAAAATCTCGACCTTTCGCAAAGACATGATCTGTTTAATGGGCAGTTGCAAAACTTCGTCTTTATCTCAGCCTTGAATTTCCATGACATTGTATTCTATCTGCCCAAAGAGGACAAGTTTTAAGGTGATTCTACTGCAAATACAGACCGAAGAACATACCGTTTAGCATCTTTCAGTCATTTTAAACGGTTTGCCACATGATAAGTTCCACGTTATCTAGCTATCTGAAAAAGAACAATTTTTCATATGGAATTATGTTTATTTATAATCCATCTTGGCCGCCTTAAAACGAAGATAGTAACGTAATGAGCTTAGAATTAGATGCTTTGAGTGCCTTGTGACTATAATCAATCGGAAATTTCGAAAGAAATTTTCCGTCCGGTTGGTGTGCACCAGTGCCCTTTATATACATGCCCGGTCACCAGATCGACCTTTGCAGTCTCAGTAAGTTACGAGTCATAAAAAAAATAAACTGAATGAAAAGTAAAGTCAGTAAAATAAATTTCATTTAATTTGTCGTTCAACAGCCATTATGTTAATTCAACAATATATATGTACAGTTAAATATGGGAAAAAAGAAGTGGATAGCAGTATCTCGGAAAAAGTAAATAATAAAAATGTACTACACATGCTACTAGTAGTCAAATTACTCTCCTGTATTTCTGACCAAACTGCATTACCATGTCTTTTACCGCTGGAAAATGAAAATAGACTTAAAAGTTATGCAACTCACCCAGAATATCAACCTGCACACGCAAATTCTGGATAACTCCTATAACCTTCTATTTAAAGGTGATCGAAGAAATTCCAAGTATGATGCTTCATAGAAGATTTCTTATATTTTTCCAAAATATCTATAAGGGGTTCGAGAAAGGGAATACAAATGACAAACAATTTCCGCTCCTCTAGACTTCACTGGCATCATTCTGTGTCATTTCTCTCGAAGAACAAGAGTATAATTACTCGTGTTAACTCGAATAACACGAGTATATTCTCGACAATGGCCACTCAACAGCGAGACTGAGTTAACAGACGAGAACAACATTGCGTACCTTCTCCACCACAGGAAGTTTCGCCGCATGCCGACGGGACACGCCGACGTTCCGAGAAGAACGTCAAGTACTATGAGTACTTCCACGTGCACTGCACCGTCTACGGCTCCCCACCACTCCCTGCACCACCCCGCCGCTCTCTGTCTCTCCCCGCCCCTTCGCAACCACTGCGTGGCGTGGCGCACCGCGCCGCGCCGCGCCGCGCCGCGTGAGACCCCCGACCACCCCGCCACGCCTCGCCTCGCCTCGCCTCGCCACGCCATGCCACCGTGTCAGGGGGTCACGCGGTCCGGGGCGACAGGCAGCGGCGAGCAGAGGGGGTAGGCGGCACACCAGGGCGACGCGGCGTGGCGCGGAGCAAAAATGCAGATGGGGCGTTATCACCGCTGTAAACAAGGTCGGGGAGCCCCGACTGCAGCGTGGTGGCGAGCGGGTGGGCCACGGGGTGAAAGTGAAGGGAAAGGCCGTCACGCGGGGCGAGGGGGGGGGTGACACGACGACGGCGGTGGCGGCGCGGCGGCCGGGACGGCGTTCGCTTGCGCGGAGCCGCGCGGCGCTACGCGACGCGACGCACCCCCCACCTCAGTAGGAAAAATGACGCGGTTGCCGAAAATCTCAATCGATAACGGCGGCGTGCGCGCGTACTGCCGGCCGCCGCCGGCCGCCGCCCCGCCCCTGCTCCGTCCCTCCGCTCCCCCCCCCCCTGCGCGTCCCAACCGGATGCTTCCACGGGGCCCTGCGACAGACGCAGGCCACGAGGACGTAATACCACACACAGACGCCCGCGCGCCGCCCCCGGGACTCCGCGACCAGCCCGACGCCGACTCCGCGCCGCCGCCGCCGCCGCCGCCGCCGCGCCGCAGCCGCGTCGTCGCCGCGCCGCTCCGCCCGTGTGTGCTAGTGCTTCCTCCGCGCCGCCCCCGTGCGTTATCCAGTGCGCGTCGCCCGTCCGTCAGCCATGGCTGCCCGACGGCCGCCACTGACCGTGTGCGTGTGGCCCATTGCTCCGCCGCTACTCTCCGTCGCCGCCGCCGCCCGCCGCCGCCGTCGACGCAGCCGCTGTCGCCTACGCAGCCGTTCGCCGCTGCCCGTGACCCCCGACGCCGTCCCCAGCGTCCCGCCGGCTCCATCGTGAGCTCGTTTTTCTGACGTGCAAAGTGTCAAAAACGGCCGACTACATGGTGCAGAAACGGGAGTCAGGGACATGTCGTAACATGATAGGTTACAACCAGTACAGTCAGCAAGGGTACAACAAGCTGTTTACGCAGGTAAGCCCATCCCGCCGTGCCCCGTAACGTGTGAGGTGCAGAAACAGTCACGCACGCGCGCACACGCGTGGGCGCGCGTTGTTTGTGCGAGTGTGTGTGTGTGTGTGTGTGTGTGTGTGTGTGTGTGTGAGAAGGTTGGCGGCTGTGGGTGCGCACGTCCGCATGCCATGCACGACGCATGACGGGTGGGTCGGTCGGCCCGTGGCGTCTTGTTGACGCCGCTGCGGCCCCCTCGCGCCCCGCCCCCCGACCCTCGTGCTACCCCCGCGAACCACGGCCGCCGCCGGGCAGTGCTCTCGCCGGGCACGCTGCCGCCCCCACTCCCCCACGCCCCCACGCCGTCGGCCGCGATTCCGCGATGCCGTGACCCGCTATGTCCGCGGACGGTTATCCGGCCCGGCCGGCACGCCACGGCGCGGGGGTTCTGCAGTTCAAGGCAGTTAACTATCTACGCCGGAAGCCCTTGACGGTTCGGCACGACAGTTCTGATAATGAATGAAACGGAATTCAACATCTAAGAACCCGGAATTGTACAATTTTTACACGTGTTGTTCTTCTTTGAGGATTCTTCTAGCGAAAAGGTCTAGTCGAATTCTAAATGGAGTCGAAGAGTCACCTGTAGAGTGAAGGTCGAATTGCGAAATAAAAATTCCACGCCTACAGAGCACCTTCGCCATAAAAACAACATTCGTTTCAGAGCCTTACAAAACGGCAACGTAACATACGACAAGATACAAGCGGACTACCCTACTCGTGGGATACACAAGCACAAAGAGTATCAAACCTTAATCAACAGACAAATCCCAACGTGGCACGTGGCACCCACATGTATTAGATATCTGAAGAGCTGATAGCGGGTAATCAGCATGTACCTTGCAGGTTGAATGATAATGCTCTCTAGATTTTGCCATGTTTTTTCGAATGTATCCGCAGATCTTAAAAGATGTGATTTCCAAATCTTTTGTCTTGTTTGAAATATGTCACTAAATGAAAAGAATCAAACGATTATAATATATAATCTTCAAAATTTCATGTGTATACTAAAACAAAAGGAAATAGAATAATATTTAAACGGAACTATACACTTGTAAACATTTGTATTCTATGTCCTTTCCAAATTTTCTTCACTTGACAGCAGAATCATTTGTAACCAAAATATTGATTTGATATGTTGCTTTTTACTAATTTTTGCATTAACATTGCATTAGGAAACTTGCAGTTCACTCCAACTATACTAGAAAAATTTTCTCACAAATATTGTAATAAAACTATGAAATCGAAAGAACATAAGTGGATATAATAATAATTATTATAATTATAATTATAATCATAATTATAAAATTATTAACACCCTTCAAACTATAGCGCTAAGGCATGGGTCTGTTCGCTCAGTTCAAAATTCTATTCTCGGTTCTTATCTAACACGGTATAAAAACTGAATTTGCAAATAAAAATTAGAGATAAATAGCTTCCATTCATTGATAGTAATTTCAACTGTCAAAATACTAGTTCATTGCCATTATCCTAGTTCCACATCCAGAAAAACGGGAAAGGATACGATTTTTTCTTGATAGTAAACAAACAACCTGGACATAATGCATCAGAAATCAATGAGAAACAGGCCAGTTGATGGTAAATGTTAGTGCTAAGAGTTGTTACAGGACAGTGACCATGAATTAGCAAACGAATGTATGTCAGATTGATTTATTGTGTATAATGTACATTAAAAAGGACTTTGTTGTGTCGGTTGAATAACTACAGTAAATTATCGTAAAATGGAATAATGGCAAAGGCAGAACTATCAGTAGAAATATTTGTATTATGAGACCACTGGACTCTTTGTACGAAAGAATCAAAATTCCAAAACACATGCAACATATATTAATAATATTTATTAGACTATAAAAACTCTTGAAGGCAAATTACATAAAAATAAGGGATCTGTAAATTTAAAAAAAATAATAATCGCGCAAGAACGCATATATGCACCTATGGATTATTGTTTATATATAACATTATTGGAAAACAACAAAATTAAGTAAATATACTGAAAATAAGATTCATTACAAAACAATCCATGGACATTTATGTCCTATGTCAGTCAGTCAATGCCAATAACGAATTCTGCATTCTGTAATGCAATAATAGTAATAATAATAATAATAATAATAATAATAATAATAATAATAATAATAATAATAATAATAATAAAGTTGGAGAAGGAAATTTTGCTCAGCAAGTGTGAAGAATGTATTTTCAAGAAAAGCGACAAGTAAAGTGCTATTCAGTAAATGAGTTAACATATCGTTTATGTTCTTTACATAACAATAAGTTAAACAAAGATACTGTGATGTATTATAAAATTGATATGAAAATAAAGGCAAAATATGTGGCCAATTACAATAGAACAGGAAGTAAATAAATTATCCTTTTAAAACTGCACAGTTTCCAGCGACCAAGCTTCAAGGAAATTTCCCTTGGTTATATTAATACTGTTTGATATTGTCTAGGTATTTGAATATATAAATTTCTTTAAAAAAAACATTATTTTTTGAACGTGAACTCCCTCACTCAAAGCCTTTCAAATTCCAAGAACGTAGCTAATATCAATCGATTTTTCCGTCTCTCTTTATAATAGATAGTCGAGAGAGGGATCCTGATCGACAAACATCGAGCAATATCGCATTGTCTTAGGGCGGATAGCGAAGGTGCACGCCATGTAACTTTTCATAGGCGAATACATTGTCCTAGAACTGTACTTCCTCCTGTCTTTTAATCAATTCATATGCAATTTTATGCATTATTAACCAAATAAGCCATCAATATACGTTCAACGTAAATCAACAGGAAAATTATTTTCTCGTAAATCACCACCACCTTGCATTTCAATTGAAATTAGTATTACAATATGTTTGCCATTTATTCGCAATCTCACAATTCATTATACCCTCACATCGCATTCTGTATTTTCATCACCATATCTTTTTCTTAAATGAACAAAAATATTACTTTGGCGATCTAAAAGTTAAATATTACACATAATATAGTACATGATCACAGACGATTTCGGTTCAGTTGCCAAATCAGAACAATTATATAAGCAAAAATATTTGCAGCATTGTTAAAATGTTACCTGAAACGTAACACCCAGCGCACAGCTGAGATCCAGCTGGCCACAGCGGCTACCTTTCCGGCATCGCTCGTTCTCCACCTCGATCTCGCTCTCGCCCTCTCTCGCTCATCCGCGACACCTCACTCTCGGCACAGGCCTCATCTCATCTCTTGCCTTCTCTCCCCTTTGTCCTCTCCTCCCGTCTCTCATTCATGTCTTCTGACTCTTACTTCGCCACAGGCCTCAATCCTGCATTTCTGGTATTTTCATACTCGCATACTCTCCAGCTATATCCCCCACTTCCGATTACGCTCTCGCCTTCTCCCTCACCTGCGATCTCTCACTCTCTTGCCAGCGGACACCATCCTCCTCCTCCTCTTCCCATTTCCCTGTCGCTCTTCCGCCCTCTCGCCCTCACGTGCATTCGCAGCCTCTCCCTGCCTCTCCCTGCCCTCTCTCTCTCTCTTCTCTCCATCCTCTCACCTTCATCTTCATTCTCTTGCCTCTCTCGCTCCCCTCACCCTGTTGCGTCGTCGTCCCCACTCTCCCGTGCGTCTCCCTCTCTCTCTGCGTCCTTCGTCACCTGCTCTTGCTCTTGCCTTCTCTCGCCCGCTGCCCCGCGGCGCCGTGGGACTTCCGGGCGCGTGGGTGCCGCGTCGGCCCCACGCCACGCCACGCCACGCGGCGCGGCGCGGCGCGGTCGCCCGGCGGCGGCGCCCGGGGTCGACGCGCGGGCCCTCAATTGATTCCGCCGCCCCCGCTGCCTCCGCGCCGGAGCCCGCGCGCCAGCCAGCTCCCTCCCTCGCCGACCGCCGCCTCCGCGCGGCCGCTCTCTCGCCACTGGCCCTGGCTTACTTGCCTGTCCTCGCGCTTCCGCATCTACTCGTCTGCCTGCTCACCTATTCGCCTGCCTTCGCCCTCCGCCCGCTCGCCTACTAATCTACCCGCATGTCCTCGCGCGTCCGCATCCACCCTTGGCCTACTCACCTACTCTGACTCACGCACGCACGCGCGCACACGCACACACTTGCACACGCGCGCACACACACAGACAAACCAATAGCCTGAAGCACATTGTTGAAAATATTCATAATGCGCCTTTTCCCCCTTACCCATACTACCCCTAACCATATTACCTGGTCGTCCCTCTCCACTCTTTTTCGCTCCTTTCCTCTCCTCTCCGATACTATCGGTCCCCCTCCGTTTTTACCCGTTTCGCTGCCGCGCCTCTCCCTGATCTCCACTCCTCCTGTTGATCCCCGCTCTACCCAGCTCTTCCACGCTCCTCCCAGCTCCTCCCCTCTCCTCCCTGCTCCAACCGTTCTCACGGCTCCGCTTCATTCCCCTTCTCCTCCCCGCTCCGCCCCGCCCCGCCGCGCCCCGCCCCGCTTCGCCCGTTCCTCGCTGCACGGTTCCACGCCGCACTGCGCAGCGCCGACTGCATTGTATATCACTGCGTTGCACTGCCCGCAATCAATTGCCGACCTCTGCGCATTCAAGGCCTCTTCAGACAGCAAGGATGTAGCTACGGATACGAGTTTGCCATTTTGCAGTTCATATTTTTTTTTCCAATTTTTACAATACAATCGCTAAATAATGGTGTGCGCGCTTTTCCAAGTCGAAATTTACTGCTCTCTCATTACATATGAGTGTTTTTAGAAACAACAAGTCCTGGATCGCCAACAGAACAGTTCTCGAAGGAGTGCGTCAGAAAATAAATGACTTGAAAATCTAATTATTTCGACTTCACGGCCAGAATTGCACGTTTAATGAAGTTTTAAGAAAGTTGCGGTCTATGAAACTAGATTCATTTTTTTCTGAACTTTCTACTTATTTGAAAAGTCAGGGGTTCATACGTACGTCGTTACACCTCGCAAAGCCTACGAAC